TTTCCTACACATTGACTTAGTCAACATGAGCTTATTAGACATTAACTCATCTTTATTCCACCTCAATCAAATATAACGTCAGAAACAATGGTTAATTATATTCTACCATTTTTCATCAGTTGAGACCAATTTTTTTTGAGATACGGCTGTCAAGAAAATTTATGGATAAATGGTTATCATAATATTCATGGATAAATGGTTATCATAATATTTCTCTTATTCTCTTGTGACATTTGAATATATATTCTAACAGTAGTTTAATATAATATTTGTGAAATTAAAAGCTAGTTTCGTTTATTAGTCCCACAAAATTTTATACGACATGAAAACAACAATAATTTTGTCGGCTTTGTCTTGTTGTCTATGAAAATAAGATTTTGTTCGATTATTGCAGTTATGCTTGGGCAAAAAACAGAACCCAAATTCGACCATAAAAACCCGATATGATCGGGTTTAGTTCTAGAGAAATGTCAAATGGGACTTAAGGACTAGGTACTTTGGATATGAATCAAAACCCGAACTAGTATCCAAAAAATTCAAAGTTAGCTATACACAGTAAGCCCTATATACCTAACTCCGGGTAATTTGGATAGTTTTGAGTACTTTCAGGGATTTTGGGTAGTTTTTAAACTGAGTTTTCGGTTAATCCAGATATTCTCGAGTACTTAAAAAATATTTTTGGATAGTTTGGGTAATAGTTTATCGATTTTTCGGATAACTCATATATTTTTGAATATTTTTTTTATGCTTTTCGGTATTTGTCTCGAAATTTTGAGTAACTTTTGGTATCGTATAAAATCCAGTCTGAACTAAACCTGGAAGATACCGAACCAAACCTGGTCCAAAATGAAAAATACTTGAATATAGATTTATGAGTCTGATATCCAAAACCCAAAAGTTTAAAAATTCTATCCAAACCTAATTGCAGAGATGAAAAGTATGCTGAGAGAGAGAGTTACGTATGTGTGGTGTGGTGTGGTGTTTTTGACCTTGAAGACAACCATGGGTAGTTTCATAACTTAACATATTCTTGCGTGGCCGTCTCGATTGATGACGAGTTCCCGGGCGGCATTGATTGCCCGAGAACGTTTGGGAAGAAGAGAATGAGATGATTAAAAAATTATCACTAAACTCATTAGTTAAAACTCCATTAAGCTATATATAACTAACATTTGTTATCATCATCCTTGACTCTTTTGCTTTTCTTGCCTTTCTTTGAGCTCGCTTTACGAATAAGACGACAAAGATCAGGTGATTGCTCGTCTCTGGTGCCGAGTTTTAATGTTCCTTGATTACGTTTGTTCTTTGTTCATTACTTTGCATGTTGGATCTACCTCGTGAAGGATTCTGACTGTGAATACGTATTCTTTGAGCTGAATCTGAGTTGGATTTACAGGGTATTCTCGATTTAGATTCTTGATTTGCGCAAATAGATTTGAATCTGTTCTTTAGAAAGATCGATTCTATGGTTTTGATTATTGATTAGTTAGTGTACTTTGTGAGATCGATGATTTT